AATTTCAATATTCCATGCCAACTAGTGAAACTATTAGAATTAAAATCTGATGATGCAGAAAGATGGGTAAGAATTGAGAAGTCAATACGTGAGTGAAACCACTGTTTGTGCCCTAAGAAAATTATGAACAGTCAAGAAATAAAGATAATAAAAGGAAGCCCACTATCTTCAACATTAGAATGCTGGCAAAACAAACTCCCGTTGAACAAAATAAACAGACTCCCAATAGGAATATTACATAATAAAAAGATAAAATATATGGAAAAGTGATAATATATTTAAATAAAATGGTATAGGGACCCCTGGTGGCGCAGCGGGTGAAACCACTGAGCGGCTGAGCATGCTGAATGGAAGGTTCATGATTCAAATCCGGGGAGCGTGGTGAGCTCCCGCTGTTAGCCCCAGCTTCTGCCAACCTAGCGGTTCGAACACATGCAAATATTAGTAGATCAATAGATACCACTTCTGCGGGAAGGTAACAGTGCTCCATGGAGTCATGCTAGCCACATAACCGTGGAGGTGTCTACAGACAATGCCAGCTCTTTGGCTTAGAAATGGAGATGAGCACCATCTCTCAGACTTGGACATGACTAGACTTAATGCCAGGGAAAATCTTTACCGTTAAACATTGTATAACAAAGATAGGGGATCTTTTACATTCGGATGTACAACAAAAGATGGGGAAGAATTAAGAAACAAACATGAGTCAAGTTATTGGTTGTTATGGCATGGAATGTCGCAAAAGATCACAGAGTGGAAGAAGAAAGAAGGTCCCAAGACAGATTTAGATCAAATATTACAATGGAAAACTGAGAAAGGAAGAGGAATTGTGGGATTCATATATGACAAACTAATAGATAACCAATATAATTTGAAACCCACCCTCTTAGAAGTATGGAAAGAGGGAAATAAACTGTGATCAGGAGGACTTACAACGGGCAGATGGAGGTGGGGTAGAAAAATATTATTATTATTATTATTATTATTATTATTATTATTATTATTATTTCAAAGTTACATCATGACCTAGATTTCCAGGAACTTAACAAAATGCCATGACCATCTCTGCATATTAATTCCAGAAATCACCAAAGGCAAAAGCAAGA